ATCCATATTCTGTTACACCAAATAGTTTGAAGACAAGGGAAATGTTGTAATATAATTTTAGATTATGTTTCTTTTGGCTAAAATGGAGCAAAAGGTTGCTTTGCCATATTAAAAGTTTACTACAATAATTTTTACATAACTCCAGGACTAAATATGGCATGATTATTTTGCTTTTAATCTGTCAAATAGCTAAATATTGACAATTTGAAAACTACAAAAAAAGGGTGAAGCAGTGAGACTCTTACATCATTGAACCTCTTCTAATGTTTCTCTCCCTTCACATGGCTTATATCATTGAACCACTTCTAATGGTTAACTGTTAGTACCCAACAAATTCAAAGAGTTAATGAACCAAGGCATTCATTCAGTCTTCTGTGCCTTAGCTAGGATGCATAATTGCAAAAGACAGCAGGTACTGGTCAAAACTTCAGGACAGAAAGTGCTTGATGCCATTACAGTTCTCAAGTGTTTGTTGAGAGTTTAAGTGCAGATGCTGATGAAAACCATTTCAAGAAGAGTCAATTTCATGTTAAAGGGTTCAAAGATGTCACCAAAAGCAGAAAAAAGCTTTAATAACATCTTCTTTGACTTATTAGGCATTTACAGAGTCTATATCATTAATGTTGTCATTTTAATAGAACATTTCCATACAGTGGTTATTGCTTGTCTCTCTTTCTCTCCCTTTACATGACTTCCTTCTCCTCTTGACATTTTTCATAATGTGCAAAGTCATAAAAGTTTGAAGTGATATGCTTGAAAGTAGCAATTATTTTAACCACTTGCTTTGCTTTTTCTAGGGGTACTTTTAGAGTGTCCCTTGAGTCGGTTATTGGTTTATTGTCAGTTTTCTAAGTGAACATGTCATAACTGGTTATTGGGAACATCTTTGACAAAGATTCATTTAACTTCATATTTGCCCTTCCACTTATCATGAGACCAGACACTAACATACACATTATAGTCTCCAACAGACTTTAGCCACTCCACAAAAGTGACCACTATCATTCACACTGAAGAGTAAATGCAGTGGCCTTTCCCATTCAGAGAATGGTAAGCTGCATCCAAATACTTGTTTCCATGCTCAGTACTACACCAGATAGAGTACTTGATAGAACGATGTGCATCATCCTCAGAATAGCTCTTTATAATAAAAATATGTCCATTCTTCAGGTTACAATCACAGTCATTGGGATTATAGTTGTTTAGAGCCTTCAGTTTTTCCAGCACTGGATGCACCTCTACACAAGAATGTGAAGCACTAACAGGTACAACACCTAAACCAAAGTTTTCACCGCCTGCTCCATTGTTCTGGTTACAGCCAGTTCCTCTATTGTGAGGAGCTCCCCAGCGATTCTGCAGCTGTGGCTGTTGAGAATAGGCTTGGTGAGGCTTGGCCTGTGTCTGAGGTCCTTGCTGCTGCTGTGGTTGTGGTGGTTGAGGCTGCTGTTGAGGCAGTTGGCTTTGCACCAATGGTAGTGGTTGAATTAATGGCTGAACATGCTGAATTATAGTTTGAGGAGGCAGAACTGGTTGGGTTGGTGGAGCCTTTACCACAGACCCCTTTTCATCCCAAGTTTCAATATTCATGTTGTGTTTTATAGGAGGTGGTAGCAAAGCAGAACACCCCCCAATTCCCATGTTGCCTTTGGGTTTAAATTTCAGTTGAGGTTTGGCGGGCCTTCTGGCAATAGCAGCCCAAGTTGTTTAGGTGCTGCACTGCTAACAGAGGGCACATTATTGGTTGCAATGCTAGTCATACCACTTTTGCTTAAGACTACACCTTCAGTTTTGGTCACTGCAGCTCTCAGGTCACCACCAATTTTCAGTCCAGTCATGCCTTGCTCAGTACTACTAATGCTAGGCACGTTGCTCAAAGTATCATTTCCAATTCCTTCCTGTCCATCAGTAATATCTCTCCTGAGAGGTCGAGGTGGATATCCATAACTGCTACTATAAGCAGAATTTTGTGTTGTTCCTGAGATCTACTTGTCCCCCATGTAGAGAAATCAACATTACCAGGGAAAAAGCTAAATCCAAGTTGACTAAGAAATGGAGGGATGTTTCCTAATGTCCCTGGTTGACTAAAAATGTTATCTGGAATTTGATGACGTTCTCCTTTACTCATTTTTCCATAGGTTGTTAGATACGGCATAGGCTGGATTCCAACTGTGGACCATGATGCTTCCCCAAGAGAATATGGAAATCCAATAGGTGCGACATAGTAACTAGGCATGTATGGAACTGACACTGGGGGATAGCTGTTACTTATGCACACACTCCTCTCCAGTCAATGCAACCAGCAACCTCGGAACCCCACCCATACATGATGATACCTCTGACTTATGTGGCTACTTAATTAATTATGGCTCAAAATCATCATCATTTACAGCATCTTTTTGATGAATCAAACCATGTTGTACTGAAACTTCATTTCCTTGCCCTTTGGGTCTCTACTCCATGCTAGTGGCTGACAACTTTTCTGCAAGTAGAGAATAAGAGCAAGCTCCGCTCTAGCTGCTGCTCCAGCCCCTTCTCACAGGGACTTCAGAAAGAGAGTTGGGAATTGCAGAATGGACCTAAGCTTGCTGGCTGCATGCTGCTCATCCTGGTTGGCCCTCATGTCCTCAGTCCCACATGGCAGACCTAGTTCCTCAATTTTTCATTTCATGTCTTACCTCAGTTAGGTTTCCTTTATCGATACTATTGTATTTTCATGTCTTGAACTATTTTATTCATGATTTCACTGTTTTTATATTTCAATAATAAATTAATTTATATCCTCTGTAAGGATACAATTTATGTAATTGCAATTTGGAATACTTACACTGTGCTTCAGCCATATTGCTTTACTCAAGTCCTGTTGTACTGCTTTGCTATATGTGTTAGAGAGTACACATTGTTTTGGCTGTTAGTGATTATATATTTGCACTGGTGTATAGGTCTTGGCTTGGAATGATTGCCATTTTAGATGCTGATCTTGCCTTTGTTGGTTCAGTGTTTGCAGAGGCACAGATCTTGGTTCTAGGGACTAGGTTCACAGGATTGCCACAAATTCCAGCTATAAGGATCCCCACAGGCTGCTCCTTGTGACCCGATCAGAAGCAAGAGAGAGCCACCTTCCCTGACCCCAGACCTAAACTCGCTCCCAGTCTGGTCTTCACTAAGTCATTGTGTTCCATTTTCCCAAGCAGTTTTCCTGTTATTGGAAAGCCATGTTGTTTCATAGTACCTTGTTTTTGTTAATGAATATTATCTTAAACCAATATTAACTTAAATTGGGTTTATGTTATTAAAAATTCATTTTAGTACACAATTAAAAATTGGTAGTAGTTATGATAAATTGCTACTTTATTAAAATCTTTTATTAAAACTTACATAGTAAATGGAATCAGTAAACATAAATATGCCCTTTTTGAACAATGCACCTTCCAGAAAACATAAAATATTGGATTATTAAAAAATGATTTTGAATTTGTAAAGTTCATGTTTATATATACAACTCCATCAATCCCCCATCAAATGAGTCGCATAGAATCACTCTTATATTCTTCCATCTGTTCTACATTTTACAGTGGTCTGTTGATGTGGTTTCATGGACTCTGTGAACACAACATCCTATAAACCTGTGAGGACTTCAGAACTGAGTAGGCCAAGAGCATTTTGAGTCCCAACCATCTCATGCTTCATTAGTAGATTTTATTGATGTCAGTCCTTATCCATGAACTTTAATTTTCTCAATTCTGGGTGTTATAAGTGCAAATCTTCTACAGGTATTGTGATAAATTTAATTGAGTTTGCTTAAAATGAGATAATAAAGTAAATCCAGCAGTTCCTACCTCCCTCCAACCCTAATTCACAAGTATCCATCCTTGCTCTCTTTCACATTCATTGCTTTTTTCTTTAATTGCTGGTATTTCCTCTGCTCTCAGAATTCCCTCTTTACCTGTAGTTCTTTGTCTAAGGATGAGGCCTACTGAGCTTTCCCCTGCAACATTAGCATGGCCTGAGTTCACTACTTTTATTCCATTTCTTAATCTATCTCCTTGAACAGCATTAATCTCTATTCACCTTCCTGGTGCTCTTTTTCTCTTCAAAATGTAATTTTTGCAATTTACTATACTTATCTTGCTATTTTTCATTACATGTCTTCATTAGATTTACCACTAATATGTGCAAAACAGAGTATTTTGAAATTTCTTCTTCCCATGAAATTAATCTAAGATTCTTCACTTTAGGCTCAAGCAGACTTTTGAACAAATGGCCAAAGGAAGCAACTTCACCAAAGTATCACAAGAACTATCTCTAGGCAGCATACTAAAATTCTTCTCTCAAATCTCTTGAATGAGCCTCGAAAGTTCAAATGATTCTAAGCATCTCTGACTTCCATGCTTCTATTAGTATGGCCCATTAAGCAATGTTTAATGCATTCCTGTGTTCATTAAACAAAGTACCAAAGTCTAAAATTCTCCAAACAAACACATGGTATGGCATATCACAGCAATACCCCAGTCCATGGAATCAACTTCTGTCTTGGTTAGGGTTTTGTATTGCTATGCGGAAATACCATTACCATGGTAACATATATAAAGAAAACATTTAATGGGGTGGCTTGTTTACAGTCTCAGAGATTTGATTCATTTTCATCATGACAAACAACATAATGGCATTCACGTGGATCTGATATTGGAACTTGCAGGCAACAAGAAGTGGACTGGCTGTAACACTGAGGGAGGCTTGAGCAAAAGAGACCTCCAAGACCACCCCCAGAATGACACACTTCCTCCAACAAGGCCAAACATCCTAATAGTGCCACTCCTTTACAGGGCCATTTTCTTACGAACCACCACACTATCCATTCACCATATGTGCAATGTCAATGACCACCATACATCATGTGATATTGTGAAGTATCAGTTAGTGGTAATGTGAGATATTAACTGGGATTTTACATGTACAGGTAATACATGGATACATGATGAAATAATAAAGATTTTCATTTGTTAGAATACTCTGCTAAAACTCTTCCTTAAGGAAGATTTAATATCCTTGTTCCTCAGGCTGTATATGAAAGGATTCAACATAGGTGTAACCACAGTATACATCACTGAAGCCACTGCATTACTTCTTGGAGATTGTGACAGAGAGGAGGAAAAGTACACTCCTATTCCTGTTCCATAAAACAGGAAAACAATGGACAAATGAGACCCGCAGGTAGAGAAGGTTTTGTGCTTCCCACTTGATGATGATGATCGCATAATGTTGGAAACTATTTTAAAATAAGAGAAAATGATTCCTGAAATGGGAAGCAACCCAAAGAGAGTGCCCATACAGAATCTGACTATGTTATTGGTGAATGTATCAAAATTGACAAGTTTAAGCAGTTCAGAAGGGCCACAGAAGTAGTTGGAAATTTCAACATATTCCTCATAGTTGGAAAATTTTAATACTGCCACATAGTGCAACAGTAATTCCAAAAGGCTAAGGAGAAAACATCCTAGAAGTAAGACACCACAGCGAGTGGGATTCATAATGACCTGGTAATACAGAGGGTGGCAGATGGCCACAAACCTGTCATATGCCATCACAGCCAGAAGCATGTTGTCCATACATGCAAAAATTACAAACAGTGACATCTGTGTCAGGCAGCCCAAATAGGAGATGACTGGGCAGTGAGTCTGGATGTCCACAATCACCCTTGGAACAGTGGTGGAGATGAAACCAATATCAACCATGGACAGATTGAAGAGGAAGAAGTACATGGGTGTGTGGAGATGGGAGTCAGAGCTTACTGTCAGGATGATGAGCAGGTTTCCAAACAGGGCCAAGATGTACATGGACAAGAATAGGCCAAAGAGAATAGGCTGTAGGTCTGGGTCCTCTGAGAGTTGAATGAAGTGGAATTCTGGTACAGATATTGTGTTCTGCATGGATTTATTTCTTGAACATCTTTTGGAGGAAATCAAAAATGTAGTTAACAATGGAGCCAGTATACGTGTAGACCTTCTTTACAATTTGAGTCAAGTGAGTACAAATATTATTTTCTGAAGCCTATTGTGGTGTCATTAATAATTACTCAGTTGTGGCAAATACCATACTGTAAATAGTGTCTTGTTCTTAACTCATGTGTAACATATTATGAGAGACATACTGAATACAATAACCTAGAAGATGAGTTCGGAGTAGCTGTAAACAGCTGCCCTGTATTCACAGAAAAAGAAAGCAAACCCCTTTAAGACAAAATGGGTAGTTTGTAGAAGCCTCACTTTAGGAAAACTGTCAATCAAGTAAGATGAAAACTTGAAGCACTTAAACATACGTATTTGAATTACAATAGTAAGGAGTAAGTTTATTTTTATTAGAGTACATCTAACAGTGTAAAGTCCTAGTCTCTAAATAAAAATTTATTATTCCTACCCAAAAAAATATTTTTCTGGTTCCAGTGTCATCTATACATTTTTTGTTTTGGGTTTTTAAATCTTTTTTTTAATGTATTTAGATTTTTTTGGGTTTTTGAGACGGTTTTTCTGTATTGTTTTGCAGGCTGTCTGGAACTCGCTCCGTAGACCAGGACTAGTGGGTCTCTGAAACACTTAGCAGTATAATCTCCCATTACTATTTAAAGTATTACAAGATCCTTAACTTCATAACTCAATATAATTACAATATTTACATGGGAAATACTAGATTATACTTACTTCAAGCTGATGGGAGCATAAGCAGAGATCCACAGCTAAGCACTGAGCAGAACTGGAATCCAGTTTTAGACATGGAGGGGTGATGAGAAAAGGGATGAAGACCAAGCTGGGAAAGCCCACAGAAACTACTGACCTGAGCAAGTGGGAGCTCACTGACCCCAGCCAGACAGCTGGGGAACCAGCATAGGACCAAACCAGGCCTCCTGAACTTGGGTGAAAGTTATGGGGCCTGGGCAGTCTACAGGCCCTCTGGCAGTGGAACCAGTATTTATCCCTAGTGCACAAATGGATTTTGGGAGCCCATTCCCTCATGCAGAGATACACTCTCAGCCTAGATACATGTGGCAGGGTGTGACACACTTGAGGATTTCCCCATGGAAGGCCTCACCCTCACAGGGAAGTGGATGGGGGCTTTGGTTGGGGGCCCTGTGGGCTAAAGGGAGGATGAGAGGGACAGGGAACTGGGATTGATAAGTAAAATAAGATGGTTTATAAATTAAATAAGTAAAAAAAGAAGCCATTGGCTTAGAATACTTTTTGGCATTTAGAAAGTATTCAATTAGTACCATCTAAGTAATAATACTTTTAACAGAAACTCATCATAACTAAATCATAAGCATTTTCTATTATGTGTGTCAAATGTGATACTTTACAGAAATTTGAATTATGATGATGAACTTTGCCTTCTTAGCACTTCTGCATGATTTTATTGTCTACTTCATCTATCTCAATGACTGATATGAATTTAGGGGTCAGATATTTTGAGTAATATTGCTATATAAATTCCTATTGAAATACATATAAAGAGCGATTTTAAATTGACCTAATGCATATTTGATGCTCATTCAGTAGAATGCAGCACAGCCCATCTTGTCACTCAAACATATTTCCTTATACTAAAGTGAAGTTCTAAGTCCGTCTGTGAACTTCCCATATGTATTGCACAGGATCAGGAGTATCACTACCTCATGGACAGACAAGCATTAGTTTTTGGTACCATATTTATGTTGGAAAAAGTGAGAATAATAAATGAACATAATAAAGGACCTATAAATATTAAACACCATAAAGTAGAATTAGCTAAAGGATTGCCCCCAGTTTTCTTATCAGGAAGAGCTGTCTTGTTTGACAGCTGCCTGTTCAAGGCATTCCCAGTCTGTCTCCAGAGAACTATGACAACAATATACATTGAAAGTTTCTTCATTTAATATGACAGACTTTCAAGATCCCTCATGGAAGGCCTCATCCTCCCTGGGGATAAGAAAGGGGATGAGATAGGAGGTGGGTTCAGGGCAGGCAAAGAGGGGAGGGACAGGGAACTGGGATTGACATGTAAAACAAACTTGTTTCTAATTTAAATAAAAAATCAAAAGGAAAAGAAATCACCCCCTTTGTTCAAACAACCAAATTTGGAAGTTCCATCTCCCTAAACAAGATTCATTTTTTTGGCTATGAGCCTAGCCTTTAATGGTTTAGCCATCTCTCCAGCATTAAAAATGGTGAAATCTACCTAGTTATACTCTTCAAGATAATACAATATGAAATACACTCACATGTAGAACTATTTGTCTCCAGTGGTAAAAACAGTGACAATGGTTGGGAATCAGTGAATCAAGAGAATATTTATTTTCTATATACCACATGCTCATACATACCAAGGATAAAAACAAATCTCCAATTCCAAAATGATAAAATTTTCATTGTACTTATTTTTCCAGATGTAAATCATATGAATACAAAAAAACATGAGTTTATTGGGTAGCATTCTATGGGCACTGAACCATAGAATTATGTGAAAGTCTAAAGTGTGTCATCATACAATATATAAGATTGACCTTCCATTTCTTTTTATAACTCTATATTCAGATGAGAATACAGTCAACAATATTTGGATAACCCATTAGTGCAGCATTAAATATCATTAGATGACCCGAAAAGTCCGTGACACAGAATCAAACACCAAAATAGACTGTTCATCAATTTCTATGACACATTCCTGAATGGAATGAAAATGCAAAGGAATACCAAACATGTGGAAGTTGGTGTTTTGAGTGGATAAAGAGTCTACTTAATGTTTAAAATATGTCCATTTCACTTCTGTTGCAATGACTCTTTAGGTGATATGAAACCAAAAAATGACAGTTAGAGGTCATAACTTATATCAATATAAGTAAAAATGCTTATATATTGAGGAACACTCATAGAAAAAATACTAAAACTTGGTCTTACAATGGCTAAATTGTTTCACAATTACTAATAGTGTGTACTAATTGACATGAATAAATAGCACAGGCAAAATGATTCAAACCAAATGTAACATTCTTTGATTCTGAAGTGTTTTCTTTTGGTTTGGTTTGCTTTTTATTTGATTATTTTTATATTTCAAATCATAATAAACTAACATTTCTTCCATTTCACCTCTTCAAAATCCCTGTATAACTCACGCCACTATACCTCACATTCCCAGCTTCTTTGTTCATTCATTATTTCATTCACATATGTATATTTTCATGAATTACTAATCATATAGCTTTAAGAAGATAATTATAGGTCTTATAACCAGGTGTCTTTTTAAGATCTCATGTTTTCAAACTACAGATGATATAGGGACCTAACCTCATTTCCTATGGAATAATTATTGGCTGATCCTTGGAATGATGGAGGATGCTGACAGCAGCAACGATATCCAGAAACTTACTATGCAGCCTTTATAGAACAATAAACCCAGCATTCAGAGGGTGAGGCCAAATATGAACCAAGGGAACTAGAAAAGTGTGAGTTGAATTATTGTTTCAATGTTTTGATACTGTTCCAAGTGCATCTCAAATATACAACCTGGAGTTTACACAGATGAAGTGAACTTTCTGTATGAAAGATTTGGAAACTACAAGGGAAAGATAGGACTTTTTCTTTTATAATGAAATATTATACAATTTCTGTGTACTGAAACGAATATTCTGTGTTGTGATCAAGCAAAATAATTCACACAAGACTTCACTCACTTCTACTGTCTTTGTCTTTCACTTTCTATAAAATAATAATCATGCAGAAGCTTATAATTTTGGAAACTGGAAGAACTATTCAGATGAAGTAAGACCCATAAAATATAGAGCTCAGATCCTCCAACCCAGGAAAACCTTTGTAGTCACACACACACAGTAGCTTTCTTCAAAAGTATAGTTACTGAATCACCCTCACCAGCATAGCCAGAGTACTTTAGATTGCATATGAAACAATTTATTTTTAAGCAACTTATTTGAACATATTTTCTGCTCTCTTTGATCTTACGACCATGAAGAAGAGACACTGAAACAATTAAATGAGAATTTAGAGGACTGCCAAAGCACTAAGAATATTAAATGCTCATAGAGAGGCTCAACTTTTTACGGCAGTTCTCATAGCACCACAGTACACAAACTATCATAGTTCATATGAATAGGAAGGAGTAATAATTATTGTAATCTCTTCTACATCATCAATTCCCTCAGAACTTACATGAATATACTGTGGCTCCATGTGGCCATGTACAAGGGCTGTGGATATGACAAACCTCACTAACTTTACTGGTGAAGGCTCAAGCTCACACTTGAATACTGCAATTAATATAATAGAAGAGGTCCTGATGCAGAGCACTGTAGGAAGAGCAAATAGGGTTATATAGTCCTGGATTACAGAAATCAAGCTTATGACCTACAGGGCTGGGCTAACTAATTATTCTTACATAACCTAAGAAACTCAATGCACAGAACTGGTGATTACTCATACTGGTCCACAACATTGCCGTCTCTAAGGATTTCCTGGAGTTAATGGAAGAAGCAGAAAAGATGTTGAATAGTCTCAAGAGGATAGCTATGAGGTTTCTTTGATATCCTAAATTTTTATTTCCACTTTTATTTCATTTTTGGCTCTCTTTAGTAATTATTATGTTATTATTAAATTCTACTGAATATCTCCTGTGTCCTCAAAAAACTGTTTCTTTCCTGTGTGACAATCCAAAGACCAGAAATTCACCATGTCTGTTCTCAAGATTCATTCCAGATATATAAAATAAGATTGTTTCTAAATAAAACAAGAAAGAGCTCCAAAAGGGCAACAAAGTTCAATCTTGGAATATGTTTAAAAAATAAAGAGATATAAAACATCAAAAAGATTCATGCCAGTGATACCCTGACATTTGGGAACTCTTCCATGCTGCTGTGCCA